CAGTGTCAAACTCACCCAGGCCCTGTTCTGCCGGCTCGACCAGATCTCTGATTGGCATTGGCCTGCAAGTAAATGATTAAGACACTAGGTCATAAAAGTATTTAACAAGAATTTGTTTCACAGAAGCTCTAAGCTTGCAAATTTCCGCTTTTAAAGAATACAATCCATGAACAGGTTCAAAAATTAGAGTTCCAAGTTATACATTTAGTTTCCAGGGCTCGGTGCAAAGCCTAAACATTCCAGGACTGTAGTCAAAATATCCGAGCCTGAACTACCAAAAAAAAAGCCGTGAAGGTAATCTGCGTCTAATCAAAACCCTGGATTGAAAAATAATGGTTGATTGGTCTGAAAATGACTCGTGCCCACTAACTGACCAATCAGATGCAAATTTAAACCAATCGCGGCTTGGTCGGTGGCATTTTCGCGCGCCTTAGGTAGTTAACATGTGTTGCCTTTGAGTTCTTAATGGCTTCTTGTGACATTTTACTTTCGTGTGATTGGTTGCTGTGATTACGTTAGATTTGATATTAAACGGCTATGAATACATGAAATTCATATATTTGAACTGTGGATAAAGACGTGAATATGAAAGCGATCTTCGCAGTTATGAACACTACTTAAGCAGCAATGAAAAGAAGGCCTGAAAAAAAATTCAGGCCTGTACGTGATTTGAACCCATGACCTCTGCGATACCGGTGCAGTGCTCTACCAACTAAGTTAACAAGCCAACTAGGAGCTGGTCACTGTGTTGGTTCGAAATAAACCCGTCAAGTGATGAATAAACGGTTGTGAATATATGAAAGTCATATATTTGAACTGCGGATAAAGACTACTGCTTAAGTAGTGTTCATAACTGCGAAGATCACTTTCATATTCACGTCTTTATCCGCAGTTCAAAGCTCCCAGTTGGCTTGTTAGCTCAGTTGGTAGAGCACTGCACCGGTATCGCAGAGGTCATGGGTTCAAATCCCGTACAGACCTGAATTTTTTTCAGGCCTTCTTTCACTACTGCTTCAGTAGTGTTCATAACTGCGAAAATCGCTTTCATATTCAAGTTTTTATATAAAGACATTCACAGGAAAAATGCTCCATCATCAACAATACTGATCCGAGAGAGATGTTTTTCGTCTTGTCACGAGCGTGGGACAAAGGAAAAATAGTCTCGTGGTTCAGTGGTAACGCATCAGAGCGCAGAATCCGCACGTCTGAGGTTCGAATCCTCCTGGGCACTCAGAATTTTTTCTATGCCTCACGCTCATGACAAAACTTGTCATCTCTCTTATTCTATTTACAAATACTGATCAGTATGTACCTGGCTGATGGGATAAACTTGCAAAGCGTCCATACCAATCTTGGGATTGAAAACCTTGAGCTTGCAGTAGCCAGAGTCAATTACAAACATAATTCCGTCAACTAAAAAAAA